CATATGTTGATTTGCCTTGGTGAGGAAAATGTTGGAGGAATGTTCGATTTATCATGTTAAGGAATTCTAGTCATGTTACTTGGTTTGGCTAAGAATTTTGTGGCCTCATGTATAGCAAACAACTATGGATTTTTGCCTCCATGGAATCACTTATGGTGTCTTACGTTTGGAAATTACTTGAGAGGCTTACATCATTGAAGTTGGTTCTAGAATGGCTTATTGATCCTAGGATGTGGCTAATTTTTTATTTTTATTTTTAGAGGGTTTGGACGATAGAAAGATCTGGAGTATTTCTTTTTGGAAGTTTTTGTGTTTGGAGATATTGGCCAATTTAACACTTTATGATCAACTTCTATGGATTTTAACTAAATAAAAGTGTTATACTAATGAAATTTGGTAATTTTACATATGAGAATTTTAGTGAGAACCCTCTTGTCATAGTCCAAATATATAGATAACCATAGATTACCCTGTATAAAAATGATATTAATGACTTAACCTTGACACGGGATTTCATACATTTTTTAAGATAAAATAAAATAAGCATCTTCAAAATAAGGTCCTTGTATATTTTCGTCTGGTCACCTATGATACACATATGGTATGTTATGACCAAATACTATATAATCAAATTCTAACATATTTATTTCAGGGATTCCAAAAGTATCTACCATGCTATTTCAAAAGTCATATGTGCAGTACATGATTCTCCAAATATAATACAACAGATTATAAAACCAAACCAACAGTCCACAAGATAATCCTACAGGTGATCATCCATGTATATTGAACTCTAGAATCCCGTAAGTGCTCCACAACTAGCCTTCACCTCTAGAAGTCTATGCTGGCCTACAATGTAAGAACTACATAAGCTAATATTTAGTTAGCAAAATCATGTATGTCATGAGTATGAGTAATAATGATATATGACACTATGTCATTCATTTTAAACATTATGCTAAAGATGCATCATATTCTAATATTCATCAAAGTCAACTCGAAATCATTTCATTTGAAATCTTTTATTTCATTGAGCCCTTGACCCACCTACTATGCACCTG